AGTTTTAATAGCTTTTGCCTAACATTTTTGGTGCTCTGGTGTTAGGCACATATATGTTAAGGGTTATTATATCTTCTTGGAGAATTAACCACTTTGTCATTATGAATGCCGCCTTTTACCCCTGATAACTTTTCTCACTGTGAAGTCTCCTCCATCTGAAGTTAATATAGCTAGTCTTGCTTTCTTTTGATTAGGGTTAGTATGGTCTATTTTTCCTCCACCCATTTACCTTTTTTTTTCTTTTAAGGAGAGAGAGGAGTAGGAGCAGAGGGAAAAAGAGAATCCTTTTGTCTTTTTTAAAGATTTTATTTATTTAATTGACAGAGAGAGACACAATAAGAGAGGAAACAGGAGCAAAGGAAGTGGGAGAGGGAGAAGCAGGCTTCCCGCTGAGCAGGGAGCCCGATGCGGGGCTCCATGTGGGGCTCGATCCCAGAACCCTGGGATCCTGACCTGAGCTGAAGGCAGACACTTAACAACTGAGCCACCAGGTGCCCCTGGAAAGAGAGAATATTAAGCAGGCTCCAAACCCAGCATAAAGCCTGGCATGGGGCTTGATCTCACAATCCTGAGATCATGACCTGATCTGAAATCAGGAGTCAACACTTATCTGACTGAGCCACCCAGTCTCCCCCATCCTTTTACATTTTTTTTTAAAAAGAGTGAGAGAGAGAACAAGTGAAAGTGGGGGGGAAGGGGCAGAGAGAGAACCTCAAGTAAACTCCCTGCTGAGTGTGGAACCTGACGAGGGGCTCGATCTCATGACCCTGAGATCGTGACCTGAGCCGAAATCCAGAGTCAGATGCTTAACCAACTGAGCCACCCAGACGCTCCTGCTTTTAATCTGAATGTGTCTTTATATCTAAAGTGAGTTTCTTGTAGACAATATATCATTGGGTCCTATTTTTTCATCCACTCTGACAATCTCTCTTTTAATTGGTACATTCAGACCATTCAAAGTGATTATTGATCTAGTTGGATGAATATCCGCCATATTTGTTACTGTTTCCTATTTGTTGCCTTTGGTTATTGTTCCTATTTTGGTCTTCCACTCTTCTAGCTTTTAAGGCTTTAACTGAGCATTCAATGTGATTCCATTTTCTCTCCTTTCTTAGGATATCAGATACACTTTTTTTTCTTTTCTCAGTGGTTGCCCAAGAATTTGCAACATACATTTGCCGTTAATCCAAGTCCACTTTCAAACAACACTATACCACTCCTGGGTAGTGTCAGTAACTTAAAATAACAAAATATTTCTAAGTCCTCCCTCATGTCCACTGTATTATTGCTGTCACTCATTATATATGTGTGTGTATATATATATACACATATACATATATAATATACACATAATCTTATGTTAATTATATAACATATAATATATTGCTCTTATAAGACTATATATCATATCAATCATATATAATACATTGTTGCTTTTTTTACATTATTGCTATTATTATTTTGAACAAACTTAGATCAATTAAGAATAAGAACAAAGTTTTTATTTTACCTTCACTTATTCCTTCTTTGGTGCTCTCCTTGCTTTGTGTAGATCTGAGTTTCTCACCTATATCATTTTCCTCCTCTCTAAAGAAAAGTTGGCATTTCTTGCAAGACAGATTATTGGTATCAAAGTATCCCCAATTTTTCTTTGTCTGAGAAAGTATTTGTCTTTCACTTTTGAAGGATAATTTCACAGGATACAAATTTCTAGGTTGGTGGAATTTTCCCCTCCTAATACTTTAAATATTTCACTATAGTCTCTTCTTGGTTGCATGGTTTCTGAGAGGGTGGATGTGATTCTTATCTTTGCTCCTTTATAGGCAAGACATGATTTTCCTCTAGCTGCTTTCAGCAATGTCCTTTTATCTTACATTTTCTGGATCTTGAAAATGATATGCCTAGGTATAGTGGGGTTTTGTTTGTTTGTTTGTTTGTTTGTTTGTTGCATTTATCCTGTTCCATGTTCTCTGGGCTTCCTAGATCTGAGGTTTGGCATTTGAAATTAATTTGGGGGGACTTCTCAATCATTATTGTTTCAAATATTTCTCTTCCATTCTATCATCTCCTTCTGGTATTTTCATTGTGCATATATTACACTGTTGTAGTTCTCCCCTGGTTCTGGCAAATTCTGTTTCATTTCTTTAAGTGTTTTTTTTTTCTGTTTGCTTTTCAGTTTTGAAGGTTTCTATTGATATATCCTCAAGCCCAGAGAGTCTCTCCTCAGACATGTCTAGTCTAATAATGAACACATCAAAGATACTCTTGATCTGTTATGGTGTTTTTGATCGCTAGCATTTCTGTTTGGTTCTATCTTCGAATTTCCATCTCTGCTTACATTGCATGCTGTCTACTACATTTCTTAGAGCCCTTAGCATATTAACCACAGGTGTTTAAGTTCCTGGTCTGATAATTCCAACATCCTTGGCACATCTGGGTCTGGTTTTGTTTTTAGGTTTGTGCTTTCTCTTCAAGCTATGTTTTCTGCCTCTTTGGATTGCATTTTTTTTTCTTGATATCCAGACATAACGTATTGGGTAAAAGGAACAGCTGTAAATAAGCCTTTAGTAACGTGATGCTACCATGTAGTGGGCAGAGAAGAAGTCTACAGTCCTATGACTACATCTCAGTCTTTCAGTGGGTCTCTGCCTCAGGCTTGTGAATGTCATGGGTGCTTTTCCGTCTGCACTTCCTCCCCCCCCACCCTGAGGTTAGGTGGGATTGGATGGCTAGAGCGGCTGGGAGCTGGGTATTTCCCTCCCTCTACGTGTACAGCTAGAGCTGGCAAGGGTTGAATATTTCCCTTTCCCCCAGGTCAAGTAGGCTTTGATAATGCTGCATGGAATATTTCAAAGCAATTCTTTACCCCCTCTTCCAGCCACTGTGAGGACCAGGTCTGCCACTGGAGATAACGCTAATATGAATGTGAGTGAGGGCCCCTCATGGCTGGGTTCCCCTGGAGTTTTTAACTCTCAACGTTATCCATGCTGCACCCCCAGCAACTTGTCTGTTACAGGTCAGGTTTCCCGATCCTGGGCCTGGTTCCCATGGAGGTCGCTGCTCTTGGATTTCTGCCCTATAATATGGGATTCTTTGTATTTGCTCATTTCTCCAATTTTGAGGACAGCAGTCATGAATCTAGGAAGAGTTGTTGATTTCTCAGTTTGCTTGGCTTTTAATTAGTTGTGCAAATGGAGCAGTGGCTTCCAAGCTTCTCGCATGGCAGCCCAAAAATCAGATGTCCTTCCCTCCTGTCATATTGCTTAGTCATATTTCATTGTGGGAATGTCTCATTTTACGTTCGTCAGTGGATGGATATTCTAATGGTTTCCATTTATTTTATTATTCCAAATAATACTGCTGTGAGTATCTATTTTCAAATTTTTGTGTGGACATGTTTTCATTTCTGTTAGGTGTACACTTAGAAGTGAAGCTGCTGGATCATATATGAATACATACGTTTTAACTTTTTGAGGAATTCCTGAACTGTGTTCCAAAGGAACGGCACCATTTGGATTCCCACCAGCCATGTGTGAGAGTTTGAGTCCTCCACATTCTCACCAACACTTGTTATTATCTGACTTTTTTACTGTAACATCCTAGTGGATATGGTGGATATGAAGTGTATCTCAATATGGTCTCTTTTTCCCCTTTAAGATTTTATTTATTTGAGAAAGAGACAGAACACGTGAGCTTGGGTGGAGGGAGGGGCAGAGGGAGAGGGAGAAGCAGACTCCCTGCCAAGCAGGGAGCCCAAACTGGGGCTGGATCCCAGGACCCCAATATCATGACATGAGCCAAAACCAGATGCTTAACAGACTGAGCCACCCAGGTGCCCCTCAATTTACAATTGATTTATATTTTCGTAATAGCTAATAATGTTGACCACATTTCCACGTGCTTAAAGCTTATTGGCATACTTCTTTGGAGAAATGCCTATTCCGATGTTTTGCCTATTTTAAAATCGGGTTGTTTCTTTTTTTTTATTGTTGAGTTTTGAGCGTTCTTTCTGTATTCTAGATACAAGTCTCATCTGATAAACGATTTCCAAAAGTTTTCTTCCACTGTGTGGGCTGTTTTGTCACCTTCCTGATAGTGCCCTCCAAAGGGCAAGGTTTTTAATTTTGATAATGCCCAGTTTCACATTGTTGCTGCTGCCGCCGCCTGTGCACATGGCATGGGAGCTGAGGAAACACTGTCTAACAGGAGTTCCCGGAGATTTACAACTATGTATGCATCTAAGAGGCTCGTGGTTTTAGTTCTCACATTGAGATCTTTGATCCATCTTGAGTTAGTCTTTGTAGATGGCGTGAGGCAACAGTCCAACTTCATTCTTTCGCAGTGGATTTTATTTGTCTCAACAGGATCTGTTGAAAAGACAAATCTCTCCATTTTTAATCACTTGGCCCCCTTGTTAAGGAAGCAAATGACCTAAAACATGAGGGCTTATTTCTGGATTCCCAACTCTGTTCCACCCATTCCTATGTCTGTTCTTAGGCCAGTAACTACTGTGTCTTGATTATGGTCACTTTTTTTTTAGGTGATAAGGTTTGAAATTGGGAATTGTGAGTACTCCACCTTCATTCTTTTCCAGGAGTATTTTGTCTATTTTGCTGTCCTTGAGCATGCATATAAGTTTTCGGATCAGCTTGTCTGTTTTGGAAAGGAGGTCAGCTGGGATCTTGAGGGGACACTGCTGACTCTGTCGATCATCTTGGAAGGTATTCTCATCTTGACAATAGTAAGCTAATAGCTAATCCTTGAATATGGGCTGCTTTCTCATGTCTCTGGGTCTTCTAAAATTTCTTCCAACAATGTTCTGTGATTTTCAGAGTGTAAGTTTTACACTTGTATTTTTAAATTAAATGTATTCCTATTCTGATGCCTTTAATGGAATTTTTTAGTGCTTTTTTTCCAGTTGTATAAAAAATGATTGATTTTTCGCTATTAATTCGTATTTTGTAACCTGCTGCACTCATTCAATCTCTCTCTTTTTTCAGATCCCATTTAAAATTCTGAGGGGACACAAGGACCTTGTGAGCTCCTGTAGCTTCTGTGTGGATGATACGAAGTTCCTCAGCTGTTCCCATGACAGTACCCTGAAGCTGTGGGTAGGTGGCCTGGTGTGGGTGGGATGAGAACGTCCCAGGAGGGGAGAGAAGCTGGGCCCCATCTTATGGAGAGTTTCCAGATGCTCAAGAATCCCAAAGACTTGGAAAGAACTTTCTGAGCAAAATGCAGAAGGAGAAGACAAGTGAGGGTTCAACCCTAGTGTCAAGCCCTTGGAGAGAGATGAATTTAAAGCACTTGCTGGCGGCCTGTTGATTTGGAAACAGTAGGAGTGGGGGATGGGGACCCCTGGCGGGACTCTGCCCCCTGCCCCACCTACTGTTGGACAGTTCCCACTGTGCCTGGGATCTCTGAACTGTGGCCTCTCTTTGGGTCTTCTTCTCATTTGGAAAATTCACTTCCATTCACAGGGTTGGTATGGCCAGGCCTAGGTGGTCACAGAGGACAGAAAAGTGGCCAGGCCGGGAACCTGTCCATGAGGGCTGGTTGGGAGGGGCAGGCTTGAGTATGGCTCAGTGCCCCAACGTCCCGGAAGCGGCACAAAGAACAGGGATGTGAGATGGTTAGATGAGGTTGCAGAGATGTGGCCACCGAGAACTCTTTCAAAGCCTCTGGGCATAGCCAGCAGGTGCTGGAAGTCCTCTCTGGGGGTATTGCTGGTCAGTGAGGAGGATGAGGGAGCGGGGATAGGGGATGGCATTGGCCCTCAGGGGCCAGGCCACAGATGACTGTGTGCCACCTCCACTGGCTTCTGGGGCAAGAGGGGATAGAAAGGAATCTAGGCTGGTTCCTGGGTTCTGGTGTGGGTAATCAGGTGAAGGATAGCTCCTCACCTTCCAGATGACCACACTGGTCATCTTCTGGGTCATCAGTGGGTACCAAGGCCAGGCAGATGAGGCAGGAGGGTTTGGGGATGGTCCAAGTTGTTCAGCTGTGTGACTCTGGCTGGTCACATGACCTCCTGGCCCTCCCTGAAACTCTCCTGGTCCAGCTCGTGCTGGGACTACCCCAGGGCCTGCCTGGCCCATGCCCGGCCCCAACAGGCATCCACTCCTCACCTTGGCTATGGCCCACGAGCTCCTTCTGGGAACACTTTCGGTTCCTCTGAGAGTCTTAAAGCCTTTCCCAACCCTCTGGGGAGACTGAGAAGCCAGGGGCGAGGGGCTCTGTGGGTTGTCATCACCCAGGTGAGGGGGAGAACAGCTTACAAGTGTGCATCGTGCTTAGCCAGCTCAGCCCCCCCCCCATTCTTCTCACCTTTTGAACTAGTGGAAGGACTCCCTTTTGGGCCCAAAGTCTCTAAAAGGGGAGATCTGCCTGTTCTGGGGCCAAAAGGTTCTTGTCTCTAAAAGGGGAGATCCACTTGTTTTCTCTTGTTGTCCCAAGATTAGAGACCATCCACTGAGATGTCCCTGGTTCTGCATAGTGGCCAGGTGCCTGGCCTGCACCAGTGTATCCAAGATACAGTCGCTTCAGCCTGTCCCAGTGTCCCAATACCAGCCTTGCTCATGGCCTTGCCTGCTTCTGCCAATTTCCCCAGGTCCCTCCCTGTGCCTCCCACCATGCCCCGACCTCTGGCCCCCACCAGAATCACCAGTTGTCTGCCTTGGCTAGCCCCACTGACACCTCCTCCAAGAAGTTCTCTTTCCTCTTCCTGGTTCTCTTTTCCTCACCTTTGCCCTTTGAATGGCTCCTCCCATGGCTCTCCCTGCCCCAGTGCCGCTGCCATTCCTGAGCCCTCTCTGCCATTGCCCGGTACACTGCCTTCTCCTGTTGCCAAAATGTCCCCCTGCTTCTCCCTCCTCTCCCCACTCCTGTCACCTCCCATCTCCTGTCCCTCCTCTTGAGCCCCATCCAGAACCCAAGCATCTGATTTAATCTTTCGGAAGCTCCCTTCATCCTCATTGTGGACCATTGTGAATAGTTTGCAAAGTCCATACATATATGAAGAAGCTGGGGGAAAAATCATTTCTTTTTGAGAGAGAGAGAAAGAGAGAGTGGGGGGACAGAGGGGCAGAGGGAGAGGGAGAGAGAGAATCTCAAGCAGATTCTGTGCTGAGTGCGGAGCCTGAAGTGGGGCTCAGTCTCACAATTGTGAGATCATGACCTGAGCCGAAACCAAGGGTCAGATGCTTAACCGACTGAGCCACACAGGTGCCCTGGGAAAAATCATTGTTAATCCAGTATCCCTCTAATGTATTGGCATGCCTCTTTCCAGTCATTAAGAAATAGCAACTTTGGTGGTTTTTCTCACAACTCAGAAGAAAAACAAGAGCCATCATTGCACAACCCTGGAGTTAAGTGCTACAAGAATGTTGGAATATAAGTTTATTTTTTTCTTGTTTCCACATGTATACCCATGTTTACGAAATTGAGACCATTAAGAAACACTGTTTATATAACCGTTTCAAACTTGAGCTGTGGGTATTGTCACATTTCCCTATTTTCCAACTATTTATTGGGGAAAAATAATTTAAACTTCATTTAAACTCTGACCACTCTCCTCCCCCCTCCCCCACCTTGAATTATCTGAGTCAATTATCTGAGTCCGCAGAGGGGTTCTTGCCTCCCAGTGCCAGGTGAAGAGGGCGCTTATTTACTTCAAGAAACATTCAGCACGAAACAGAGACATTTCCACTGCTCTGGATTTCCCTAACAAAATCTGGCTTGTTTGCCATCTGCCTCTCTCGGAAGGATTCTCTTCACAGCAGTGCACCTGTTCCAACAGGGTTCTCAGTCTGCGGGTGCTGTTCTTTGTCCTGGCCAGCAGGTGTCACTATCAAATGCTGAAGCTGCACATGGACCCTGCGGGGCACAGGGCTGCCCTTAGCCTGACCGGGGACTTTGCAAAGACGGGAGTCCCAGGCCCCACAGTGATCGTTTTTCTTGGTTCCATGTTTGTGCTAGAGTCACACACCAGCCAGGGAGGCTGGATCGATTGCACGCAGGCTGCCTAGACCCGTTCTCTCCTTCTGAACTAGTAGACTTGTGAGTCCAGGCTTACAGCTTGTCCTGTCCTGGTGAGGTCCTCTTTGGTCTCCTGCTGTCTCTCCGTGCCTCTGATTAGGGCCTGCTGGGTCCCCCATACACGATCCCCCACTGTTTCAGGTCTTAACGGAGAGGGGATTGAGGGCCTGGGTCTGTGCAGAATAGGGTTCACATAGCAGGTGTGAGACTGCCTGCAAGGCTGGTCTTGGCCGGCATCTGGGAGCCAGACTGGCCCATGGTGTCCTGCAATCCGCTAAGTGATAAAGAGAGCTCAGGGTACCCAGACTGTTGGCATAAGCCATAGTTTGTGCCGAGCACCTGCTTTCCTTCTGGGAGTCTGGATTTTGGTGTATGCTAGAGAATCCCCCCAAAACCCCGGGCCCCAAGGCTCAGGCATGTTTCCTAGATAGACGACACATCACATGTGTTACCGCAATGGGGTTGGTAAGTGGAGGAATTAGGCGTGTCCCGTGTGACCGACCCAGTGGGAGAGACTCTTAGAGGCTTGTCCTGGTCTCCGCCCCAGGCTCCTTCCCCTTTGCTGATTTTGCTTTGTGTCCTTTGCTGTAGTAAATCTTAGCTGTGAGTCTGACTATCTGCAGGGTCCTGTGGGGGTCCTGGAGAATCACTGAGCCTGGGGGTGGTCTTGGGGACCCCTGACATAGGGTTCTTTGCCCCCCAGCACGACTTGGGCTCTTTTTTTTTTTTTTTTCTTAAGGTTTTAGTTATTTCTTTGTCAGAGAGCGAGCGAGCACAAACAGAGAGAGCAGCAGGCAGAGGGAGGGAGCCCATGCAGGACTCAATTCCAGGACCCTGGGATCATGACCTGAGTTGAAGGCAGATGCTGAACCAACTGAGCCACCCAGGCGCCCCTTGACTTGGGCTCTCAACGCACAGTGGGCTCTGCCCGTCAGGAAGTACTGTCCCAGTCCTGCCCCCCACCAGCCCAGAGACTCCCGAGCTCTGTATTTTCACCCAGCAACCCACCACCTTTCTAGGAATTCATTGCTTTACCATTAATCTGTTTTTCACGGGGACTTTCCCCTGCAGCTTATCCTGAAAAGCTCCTGGCACGTTTCTAACTGAAAATATTTCACCTCTGCCACAACGGGTGCTTTTCACTTCGGCGCCCTTTTTCTTCTCTCCCTGTTCTCCAGTTACTGCCTGGCTTCGATCTCATCGTATTCTCCAACTGCCGGCTTGCTAATCGTGGCTGGCACCCACCGTTGGCATGCTGAAACTCATTTAACTGCTCCCTTGGGGTGGCCCGGGCCGGTGTACCCGCCATCCCCTCTAACGCCCGATGAACTTTTTCCACACGAGTCTTTGACCACAGTTCTGCCTATTAGGAGAGACCACGCAGAGTAGCCCTGCTGGGTCAAAGGGTGTGAACTTTTAACAAGTTCTTGAAATGTCTTGTGAGATTCTGCCAAGCCCCTTGGGCCAGTAGAGATGGAGGAAATTGTCTCCGGCCCTGCCCCCCAGAGGGGCTGTTTGGGTCTTGTGCCTGTGGAGGGGGTGTTCTCCAGGGACACCATGGGCGGGGGTGATGGGCAGGGTGCCCTTGCTGCTCTGGGGAGAAGCTGGAAAGTTCTTTTGCCCTTTGGAGCGGGGTGCGGGGCATGGGACCAGGGGCTGTCCCACTTTGCTGTTGTGGACAAGCTCAGGGCTGCTGTCGAGCTCAGTGCACGACGTCCACCAGCAGCTCAGCGACCTCATTCTCTCTCTCCCTCTCTCCCGTTGGTTTGAGGATGCTGTGGATGGCTTCGTCATTCGGGATTTCGATCATAAGCCCAAAGCTCCTGTCTTGGAGTGCAGCGTGACGGCTGACAGCAGAAGGTGACCTTTCCCTCGTCTGGCGCTGGACAGGTGGAGTGAGGGCGCAAGCCCGTGTGCAGCACGCCAGGGACGCTGCTCTGTCCTCTTGGCAGCTACGTTCCCCCTCTCCCACCTCTGTCGCCACAGTTCCCGTGTTCTGCTGTGAGGGTCCAGGGGATATGGCCACTCTTGGAAAAAGTACTGAAAAGACAGTGTGTGTGGTGGCTCAGACAAAGCCAGTCTGCGTTTCCCTCACAGAGGTGCTTTTCCGTGGTCACACCCGTGGCCCGCTGAAGCTTCAGGGGGCCATGAGGACTGAGTCCTAGGTGGCATCTCACAGGGAAAACGGAGGCCAGGACACAAGATGGCCTTTAAAATACAAGGGGCTGGGATGCCTGGGTGGCTCAGTTGGTTAAGTGTCTGCTCAGGTCGTGATCCCAGGGTCCTGGGATCGAGTACCGCTTCGGGCTCCTTGCTCGGCGGGGAGCCTGCTTCTCCCTCTGTCTGCCACTTGCCCTGCTTTTGTTCGCTCATGCCCTCTCTCTTTCTCTGACAAATAAATAAATATAATCATTTTTAAAAAATGAATAAAACACAAGGTACTGTTTAAAAAAAGATTTTATTCATATGGTTGACAGAGACAGAGAGTGAGAGAAGGCAGGCAGAGGGAGAAGCAGGTTCCCTGCTGAGCAGGAAGCCCGATGTGGGACTTGATCCTAGGACTCTGGGATCATGACCTGAGCCAAAGGGAGATGCTTAGCTGACTAAGCCACCCAGTGTCCCAAGGGGCTTGCTTTAAAATAGATTTGCTTGTACCCTGGGCAGCAGCTACAAAGCCAGTAAAAACTCGCATGGGAATCCATCTTCCACAGGGCACACGGATTGTCACAGAAACATGCAACGGGAGAGAGGTACATGTATATTAGTATGGACAAAGGTACATTTATGTTATGTTGCTAAATGTCCAAGAAAACATTTTAGAATGAAGTGAGCTGTCAGAGTGTTTCTGTAAAAAGACAGCCCCGTGAGCAGAGAAGGAAAGGGGTGGTCCGTGGTAGGTGTCCCCTCAGAAGAAGACCGTCATCCACGGGAGAGAAGACACAGTCCCTTTAATGCCCTGAAGATGGAGGAACGTATCTGGGTGGCTGAGGGACTGAGGAAGAGTGTACAGTGCCTGGCGTGGGGTTCCATCTGGTTCCAGGGAGGTCATGGAAGGGGCTCAGGGAACATCTTGAGAAAGATTCAGGCATTACTTGCAATCTTGGTCCGAAGTTACATTTTCTATGAAGAATTTTCTATGTATTTTCTTTTTTTCATAGAGCTCATAGCTATAACTGTCTGGGTCATTTTCTTGGCAGAATTATCACAGCGTCCTACGACAAAGCGGTGAAGGCTTGGGACCTTGAGACAGGCAAGCTGCTGGTGAGTGTGGCCCACCCAGCATGGCAGCACAGCTCCTTGACTGGGCCTGGGAGGGACTCCTTGGGGGGTGGAGGCTGGGATGGGATGGGAAACCAGTCTTTCAGAAAACGAGAATTTTCTCAGGGATACCAGGTGATGCCGGGGGGCGGGGGGAGCGCATTGGGGAAGGAAAGCTTCTTGGGGCAGGCAGAGGAGGGCTTTTGCTGGAAGGATGGGAAGGGTTTGGATACACAAGGAGGGGGAGTGGGGGAGAATGGGGCATGGCATTCCAGGCTAAGGGGACTGTGCAGGAAATGTCTCTCTCTCCCATGGGGGTGTTGGGATTTGATGGGGCCAGAAGTAGAGCTGAGGCCATGGGACAAAGGCCACGTGGTGAAAACACGAGTGTTCTGGGGAGCTTGGATGGGCCGCCATCCATCCATCCGAACCAGCCTGAGACTCCCTCCCTCTCTGTCCGGTGCCCCTGCAGCCCCGCCCTGCCAAAGGGGCTCCCCGGGGAGCTTGTCACCTTCCCTTTGCCCCCTGTTTCTTCTCCGTGCAAAGATCCACTTAGATTCACCGTAAACATTCCAGACATTATAGTTGATATCTTGACATCTCTTCTCCTTTGTCCGCACACATTTCCAGGTGAACAGGTGAGTATGTTGTTAGCAAAGTGTCATCACTCTGTGCATACCTTCTGGATCTTGACTTTTTTTTTCCCTCAAAAATAAATGGTGGGTAAGGACACACTGACGTCATCATTTCTCATGGACGCGTGGATTCCATGGCGTGGATAAGTCAGGCTGTGTTGCACTATTCCGTGGTATAGGACACTAAGGCTGTTTTTACATTTCTCTATCATAAGCGACACTACGAAGGGGAAACTTGGTGTGTAATTTTTTATACACACGATGCAATACTTTTAAGGAAATAGAGCTGGATTTTACTGCTAATTTGGTGTAGAAACATGGCCTTTTAAAAATTATCCTCTGGACATGTGTGCCAGCTCCTCTCCACTGCACTGGAGGGGCACTCACTATCTTACCAGCCAGACAGCATGGTTTTTAAAACATTTTAGCCACTTGGGTTGGTGGAAAAATGAGTCTAGCGTTGATCACTCCCAGCTTGGAGCGTTTATTCCAAATGTTTGTTTCTTCTCTTGTATATTTCCTGCTCTTGTCTCCAGCCAGTTTTGCTGTTTGAGATGCTTTTCTTTTGCTTCTTTAAACATCTTGTTAGTGCTTTGATTTATTCTTGGTGCACCAGCAATCTGTGCCACTTGCCAACTAACTGAATTAGTTATCCACCCCTGTTTGACAAATTAGCCTGAAACTTAGCAGCTTGAAACAACAAATGCTTATTATCTCCCACTTTCTGACAGAAATCTAGGAGCAGCTTAGCTGGGTGGTTCTGGTTCAGGTTTCTTATGAGGTCACAGTTCAGAGGTCACCAGGGGTTACAGTCATCTGAAGGCTCAACTGGGGCCGAAGGCTCCCCTTCCAAGATGGCGCCTTCACATGGTTTTGGTCAGGAGCCCTCAGTCGCTCTCCCCGGTAGGGCTGCTTGAGCGTCCTCAGGACATGGCAGTTCACTCCCCCAGAGTGAGCGATCCAAGACAGAGCAAGGGGGAAGGCATGGTTTCCTTTATGACCTGGTCCCACACTGTCACTTCTGCCATATTCTATTTATTGGACATGAGTCCAGCCCAGGCTCAGGGGGTGGGGAATTAGGCTCTACCTTTTGGAAGGAAGACTGTCAGAGAATTTGTGGGTGTATTTTATAACTGTCATGGTGGCAATACCATCATTTGTAATGTACAGAGGGGACCTCCTTTCCTAGAATGTTGAGTGGCTCATTGTCCCCTTCTTGAGGTTTGCTGCCAGCCTCTCCTGGAGGAATGTAAGAGGCCTGAGGGGCTGGGCTGTGGTGTCTTGTCAATGGTGCGAGGCACAGAACAGACACTTAATAAACACTTGCCTACCCCACTGAGTAGGACAAATGTTGGCCATTAGGAGAGCCTTGTGGCCAGTTCCACTAGATGCTGTACCTATCCTTGTCCATCTGTCCTGGACACAAAGTCATTAATTACATTGATTAATTTAATTAATTAAAACCAACCCAAATTTAAAATTCACTTCCTTATTTGCACCAGCCCATTGCAAGTACCCCATGGCCCCGTGTGGCCAGAGACTAGTTAATGTATTGGACAGTGCATCGATGGAACATTTTCTGTCATCCAAGAAAGTTCTACTGGACCGAGGGGCTAGAGAGAAAATCACCTTTTGATTGTTGCCCTATTCAGTGGAAGATCAATTACGAAACCTTCATAGCCTCCTGCAAGGTTTCTCCTGATGGCAAATATGTGGTCTCAGCCTTGGACGTGGACCGGGCCATCTGTATAATGGATGCAGAAAACGCCACCACCGTGTCATACATCAAAAGTGAGTTTGCAGGGGCGCTGTGCTCTGTTCTGTCTGCTGTGGTACCAGCCACTTGTCTCCTGACCAACAGTGGCTTTCAGTGGCCCTATTTGTTGAGGCTGTAATGAGCCACCTGATGAGAGATGGGACCCTCACTGACATAACACCAGCGGCTAAGACCTGGCCTGAGTCTCATCGGTTCAGGCTAATGACAGAATTAGCCCCAAGCTTGTCATAGATGAAACAGTGTTCTGGTCCAGTGCCACGTGGACAGTTAAAGCCGAGCCTTTCCTTGAATGGAGGCTCAGCCTTCATAACATTTTTACCTGTATTTTTCAATTATAAAGATAATACGTATCAGATGCCAGTTTTCTGGTTGTGATATAGTACGGCAGTTATACAAGCTGTTTCTATTGGGAGAAACTGGGTGATGGGCACACAGGATCTCCCTTTCTTATTCCTGACAACAGCATGCATATTGACGGTTATCTCAAAGTAAAATAATAAAAAAAATGTAATCATCGTAACAAATGTGATAAGCATATAAAGTTAAGAAGTGAAAGGCTGCTCTCTGCGTCCTGTCTCCTTCGCTGGGGTGTCTGATCTTAACAACACATTGCTGGGTGGCCTTCCTGACCTTACAGGAGTGTTCACACACCCCACACCTACTTCCCATATGTACCTTGTGTTTCTGTTGGCTGAGCATGGACCTGGCACGTGGGCGCTGTCCCCTGGCTATACCTCTCTCCATCCTGGGTCACTTCATCCTCTTCCTGTCCTCAGCCTCCAGCTTCTAGCTGCACACCTCGTTTCTCCATGCTGTGTCCCACCTTCAGGCCTTCGCACCTGCCGTTCCTTCTTCTGGAGGCCCTCTTCCCATTCTGGTTCCCCCGCTAACTTTTAAGGTCCCTTCTCAACCTTTCAGGGCCGGGCCAGCCTTAGCCCGGCACACGGTCGGCACCTGGGAAATGTTTGTGTGAGTGTAGAGTGTCTTGTGAAACAAGAATTGTGTTTGTGTGATATGGTCGCTGCCTCCGGGGAGGCCGGTGGAATGCTAGGTAATGACTTGCTTTCCCTGTGCCTCAGATCATCACAACCGGTCTCTCACAGCATGCTGCTTTGACCCTGACAGCCAGAAGGTGGCTTCTGTCTCACTGGACAAAAGCATCAAGATCTGGGATCTTACATCCCGGGCCACGCTGCTTACCATCACCAAGTGAGGAGGGGCCCAATCCTGCAGCTGGGAGGTGGGCCCGAGTCCCCATTCATGCCCTCCTGGATTTGGCCTACACACCTTAGGCCTGCGATCGGGTGTCCACATGGGGCATCCCCAGCTTGGCCAAGGGTGCTCAGAGGAGGCTGGAGATGGAGAAAGGGAAGGAGGGAGGCGGGGGCGGTGGGCATCACTAGCTGTGGCTTGTGAGTGGGGACAGGACTCAGGTGCATTTGTTTCCATATGAGCCAACTCTGGGAAACACGGTGCAGAGCTCCCCCACCTCCCTCCCAAATGTGATTTTCGAGCATCTTCTGTAGAAGGGGAAAATCTGATCATTTAGGGCGCGTGAGAGTTTCCTGGCAGGTGGCCCCCACCAGGTGGGGGCCACATCCTCTCCAGCAGACCCTGGAAGGCAGGGTCCCAGAATGTATACATGCCCCATCACCCTGCCAGCTTCACTCAGTGACGAGTGCTGCGGGCCTGGAACAGGCTGTCCCTTGGGGATCTGGCCAGGGGTTAAGAGTGTGCAGGTTTGTATCCTCTGTGACTTTGGACCTTAGATTCCTCACCTGCAAACTGAGCAGAGGTGAGGTCTGAGCAGGACGGCACATGCAGGTCCTCAGCACGGGCCCCACAGTGTGTGCTCAGCACATGCTCTGTTACTGAGAGGGACTCTCAGGGATACGTGGGTCGGGGGTGCCATGGGCCACTTCCCTGGGGCAGTGAGGCTTGTGGGGAGCGAAGGTGGCTGAGGTTCCTGCTGTGGGCATCACAGCCCACTGCATTCTGTTTTCCCCATGGGGATGGAAAGAGAAATGAGCAAAATGTTTATTGGTATTTTTGATCAACCCAATTGTATGATTTTGGGAGGGGAGAATGTAGATTTTGGCAAGAAAAGATAAAGGAAGAGATTAAGAGCCCCCCATACAGAGCAGCCCACACTTGATGTCACGCTCTGCTGTCTACGTCCTTAAATTCTTAGTTTATGAACAAGGGGCCTTGCATGTTTTTATTCCAAAAGTATGTAAATTACTTTTCAAAAATGTAAAATGTGCAACACAGTACAAAATTAAAAAGGAACAAAAGGGTCTCTAGTGAAAAATTGCTCTTACCTATCTCTCATTCACTTTCTATCTACCCATTTATATCTACCCATTCACTTTCCCCTTCCCTCCTTCCTGCCTGTCTTTCATTCTCTTGACAGCCTTATTGAGATATAATTCACAGTCAGAGAATGCACTCGTTTCAAGTGTACAGTTAAGTGGTTTTGGGGAATATCACATTTTAAAAATTGTGGTAAAACTATATATAACATAAAAATTTCATTTGAGCCATTTTTTAAAAAGATTTATTTATTTTAGAGAGATGTGGCAGGGAGGAGCAGAGGGAGAGGGAGAGAGAGGAGGGGGGAGGGGCAGAAGGAGCTGGCGGGGTAGCGGGGGAGGTGGGGTGTGAGAGAATCTCAAGTAGGCTCCATGACCAGTGCAAGCCCCAGGCAGGGCTCGATCTTGCAACACTGACATCATCACCTGAGCTGAAATCAAGAGTCTGGCACTTAACTGACTGGGCCACCCAGGCACCCCTCCCATTCATTCCTAAAGGGTATTTTTGCCAGATATAAAAATCGGCGTTGATGGGTTTTTTTTCTTTCTTTTTTTTCTTTCATCATTTGAAATCTTTCCTGTCACTTTCTTCTCATCTTCATGGTTTCTTTTCTTTTTTCTTTTTTTTTTTTTATTTATTTGACAGACAGAGATCACAAGCAGGCAGAGAGGCAGGCAGAGAAAGAGGGGGAAGCAGGCTCCCTGCTGAGCAGAGAGCCTGATGTGGGGCTTGATCCCAGGACCTCGGGATCATGAGCTGAGCCGAAGGCAGCGGCTTAACCCACTGAGCCACCCAGGCGCCCCTTCACAGTTTCTGATGAAGAATCTCCTGCCGTTCAAGTTATATTTCCCTTTTGCTGCTTTCAAGATTTCTTTCTTTGTATTAAGTTTTCAGAAGTTTAACTAAGTATTTATTTAATTTCATTTTTTAAAAGTAATTTCTACCCCCGGCAGGGGGCTTGAACTCATGACCTAGAGATCAAGTATTGCATTTGAAGTTTAATTATGATGTGTCAGGGGATAGATTTCTTTGGGTTTGTCCTACTCATTTAGCTTGTTGAATCTGTGGGTTTATTTCTTTTGGAAAATTTGGTAAAATTTCAGATATAATCTCTTTGATTCCTTTTTCAGTGCTTACCCCCTTTTCCCTCTGGAACTCTGATGACACAAATTTTCAATCTTTTGTTATAGTCCCACAAGTCTCTCAAGCTGTTTCCTTTTCCCTCCTTCCAGTCTATTTTTTGGACTGTTTAATTTATATTGTCTGTCTCCATATTCACTGACTCTTTTTCTCTGTCCTTTTCATTGAATTTTTAATTTTTAATTTCCTATTTTTCAGTTCTAAAGTTTCCATGTGGCTCTTTGTCACATCTTCGATTTCCTCGCAGAGGCTTTCTATCTTTTCATTTGCTTCAAGCATGATTATAATTGTCCATAGAAGCATTTTTATGGTGGCCACTTAAAAATCCTTGTCAGATAATTCTAATGTCTGTGTCATCTCACTGTTGAGCATCTATTGATTATCTTCTCATTCGCAATGACATATTCCTGGCTCTTAGCATGATGAGTGATTTCCTGTTGTGTTGTGGATGTTGTGTGTATTAATTATATTAGAAAACTCTCAGTCCTAAAATCTTGTTCTAGCAGGCCATCTCAGTAGAGTCTGGCAAGGATGGCAGTCTAGGCTTACTTCTTGGATCTTGCTGGCAGGGGTGGGGATGGGATGCAGGTTTTCCTGAGATGTTTGGCTGGAATAAAGTGGGTCATGGCTACAAGTTTTCTGTCTTGCTCAGCTATCTATCTGGCTAGAAAGAACAGGCTTTTCTTGAGGGTCTTTTTATGGTCCCCATTGTTTCTTGGGTTATAGGCTTTCCTGGTATTCAGTACAGGATAGGTGAAGAAAATAAAACCCTAGGAACACACAGCGTGCCTTCTTGGGTACCAAGATGTCATGCTGGTCTGCATTCTTATCCCCATCTTTCCCAGTCTCCTCTTTGCTTTATAAATGCCCAGGATTGTTAGTTGTACTTAGCAGGAGGAATAGGGAAAAGTGCATTAATTCCATCCTGCCCAGACATAAGTGCAAGCACTTTCCCCAAACTGTTGTTAAGTACCATAATCTTTTATGAGAAATGGAATTTCTATTTTCCTGGAAAATAGAGATAGCCCTGGTTTAAATCCCAAACACTGTGTTTGGATTCTGGCAAAAGCTTTTTACCCATCTCCAGTATATGCTGGGATGGCTCTTAGCCTAACAGCCACAGGGATTTGGAAAGTATGACTTTCCTAACCTTGGGAAGTTGACATTTCTTCTCCTTTGCACTTAGTCTGTGCACTACAAAGAACGAAAGCTCTGGCCTGAGCTCTAGAAAAAACAGTTTTGTTCAAGCTTTCCTTCAAGTAAAATGACTGATTTTATGATCCAGGCCACTGCTCATCTATGTTCATAGGTATTCTTGAAAACTGTTTATAATGGAAGATGAAATTCATGGGGGAAATACTTGGAGGATCACAAAGAAAACAAAAACAGACAAATTCTGACAGATTAAAAAAAAAAGACATAAAAATTGAGAATGGAGGGCGCTTGGGTGGCTCAGTGGTTAAAGCCTCTGCCTTCAGTTCAGGTCATGATCCCAGGGTGCTGGGATCGAGCCCCATGTCGGGCTCTCTGCTCTGCGGGGAGCCTCCTTCTTCCTCTCTCTCTGCCTGCCTCTCTGCCTACTTGTGATCTCGGTCTGTCAAATAAATAAAGTCTTTTAAAAAAAATTGAGAATGGATAAGTAAAAACTTAACTAAATGCACAGCATTCAAATATGCTTTAATGACTGAAGACAGATGAAGGGAGAGGGAGAGAAAAGACAAGGGCACTGGGAGAAGGTGGTAAGAGAGGGATGGGGGAAGGAGGGGCTTCCAGGTCTTGGGGTGAAAGGAGGTGGAGCGTGAGCAGGAGAAACCCATTTTGAAAGTGTGACCCAGGATGAGACCCTAAGGGCTGTTTTTCTGTTGACCACTGCTAATAGATTTTCTGATGCCCCTTTCCCTCAAGTCTCAGGTAGCTCTAAGTAGTGCAGTGGTTCTTAACCAGGGGCAGTTTTGACCCCCAGTGGACGATTTGCCAATATCTGGAGATATTTTTAGTTGTCGTAGCTGAGTGTAGGTGCTGCCGGCATCTGGTAGACGCTGCTCAACATCCTACAGTGTATGGGACAACCCCCTACCACAAAGAATTGTGGGTAGCACAAATGCCAGTGTTGCCATGATCGAGAAATCCTAGAATATTGCATAGTCAGAGCAATTAAGATCTGGACCTTGATAATACATATACAATGGAATCTTACTCAGCCGTCAAAAAGAAAGAAATCTTGCCATTTGTGATGACATGGATGGAGCTAGAGTGTATTATGCTAAGTGAGATAAGTCAGTCTGAGAAAGACAAATACCTTATGATTTCACTCATATGTGGAATGTAGGAATCAAAACAGATGAGCAAAGGGGAAGAGGGGAAAAAGAGAGAGGAAAGAGGGACTCAAATGGTAAGAGACTGTTAACAAACTGAGGGTTGATAGAGGGAGGTGAGTGGGGGGTGGACCAAATGGGTGATGGACATAAAGGAGGACCCTTGCTGTGCTGAGCACTGGGTGTTGTATGTAAGTAATGAACCACCAGATTCTGCTCCTGAAACCAATATTACACTATATTTTAATTAACTAGAATTTAAATTTTTATAAAATGGGGGGAAAAAAGATTTGGACCATGGTAGGCAGTGATCAAAGGAATGATGTCCATTAGGTCATAGGGGACCAGGTCAGCTCCAGTGCCCCTCACCTCAGCTCTGTTCCCAGATTCTCCAGGCATGAGGTGCTGATGTGTGCACCCTCCCATCTGTGTTTCAGGGCACATTCCGGTGCAATCTCAAACTGCTGTTTTACCTTCAGTGGCCATTTCCTGTGTACGAGCTCCTGGGATAAAACCTTAAAAATATGGAATGTCCATACGGGGGAGTTTCGGAACTCTGGAGCCTGTGTGACTCTGATGAAGGGCCATGAAGGTTCTGTGAGCTCCTGCCACTTTTCCAGAGATAGTGAGTAATGAACACATAGAAAGATTTCACACCTGTGGGAGTGCTGGGTTAGATCTTGTGTTCCATTCCCCTGGGCTTGCCATCATAAAGAGAGGCAATTCCTCACCAATGGTGAGGGTGGATTTGTTTTCTATGAGAACACACAAGCCAGGAGGGACATTAATAGGCAGAAGTTTGCAAGTAGCAGAGACTCAGCTTAACGTGGCTTAGCAGCCAAAGATATTTACTAGCCCCTGGAATGGGGAAGTCCAAGAGCAGATCTCACTTCAGGTGTGGCTGGGTCCAGACACTCAAGACAGTGCTGTTAGGGAGCCAGTCCTGGCGAAAGAGAGACCCTTCTTTTCCTTGGTACTAGTGCAAGTCCCAGGACAGTGCTTCATTGGCTCAGCTTGGGACACACGCCTACCTCAGAACCAATCACTTTACCAGAGGATGAAAGGCTCTGATTGGCTAGGTTTGAGTGACTTGCCCACCCCTCTGAACTAGAGGTCGGAGTCAGTACCCTCCAACCAGAGGGAATGAGAGGATTGTGTGGGGTGTTTCCTCATGGGAAGTGAGGGCATTGTTGACAAATGAAGGGGCACAGATGCCAATATAGATGATGACAGGAAGTGGCCTCAGGCCACTAGCCTCAGTGAGGGAAGTGACAGTCCATGGCTTTCCTCCTCCATTCTCCTGGGAAGTGGGGCTTGCTCTGTGTGTGTGTTTCAGGGGCCCCCAGCCAGTACAGAAACAATCAGAGCCTGGCTTGCGAAATGCTAGAGTGTTTTTGAACAACTTTACCTCTTCACAAGCAGTCTCTGTGAGTTAGACCCCATTAGGGGGCATCCCACCAGTTTCTGTCCTTGTATTTTTGGGGTTCAGAGTTGCATACTGGCCATTATCCTTATTCACACGTTCCGCATTTGTGAATTACCATACTGGATAAAATTTATTCGTAACCCTAAAATCAGCATTTGTGGCACTTTTGTGATGTGGCAGGGGCTGTGGACACATGCAGGGCAGCGAAGAGTGTTGAGTTGGCCTACCCACACACTCCTAGCTGTGGTTGAACAAGGCGGCCCTCTGCCTTCTTGTTCCAGTTCCCTTTCTGGCAAGTGTCCATTTTGCGGGCCCTTGAGTGCCCAGTTATTTTGCATTTGGTGGACTTGGTTGGAAACTCTGTTCTTTAAAGAGCCCCCAAGCACAGGGCCGGAGTGCTTGCTGTCCGGTGCTCCTCAGCACGAGAAGGTGGTGACACGGCTTACAGGGAAAGCACAAGTGTTGGATAAGCCGGGTTCAGGCGTCAGCTCCTGCACTGATGGCTGTGGATTTAACGTTGATGAATAAACACTGTGTGTCAACTACAGTGTGTTGTTAGAAGGAGATCTAAAACGAGGTTATGTATTGATCGATTAATGAAAAGTTGGGACCAGAGAGGCTCCTAGGAACCTCACCCTATAGGTCCCCTAGGAGAAATTGTTCACCATTGTCTAATTCAACATCTGTGGTGGCTTTATGGAACGTCACTGCTGTGAATAATGAAAATAGACTGTAACTGGCTGGGGGTCATCGAGCCACCCTAGGAAGGGGTTGGAGTGTCCTTGGACTGAACCATGGTATCACCACACCAATGCAACCTCAGCCCGCTTTGACCTTGCTGAAAGGGGGAGCACTTGGCAGGGGGAAGATGACCCCCCCTTCTCTGAAATGGTATCATTTTGTGTTGTAGCCTCTGTTCTCGTATCTGGAGGGTTCGACAGGACTGTGGCTATCTGGGATGTAGGAGAAGGCTACCGGAAGCTCTCCTTGAAGGTACCGATGTCAACATCAGATAGAGGGTCCATGCTGGGTGCTGGGTGCTGGGGATACAGTAGGTGAGACAGACCTAGATGTCCCCATTGGAGCTGACACCTCTGTGGGCAAGAACAGACAGGAAACCAACAAGCAGATCATTAACCATGATGAGTGAAACAGAGAAATCACAACAGGGTGATGTGAAAGAGATAGACCCCAAGGACTAACCCACAATGGTTGGGCAGGGAGGGCTTCTTGGAGAAGGTGGCATTTGACCTGAGAACTTGAAGGCGAGGAAAGACTGGGTGAATGAGGAATGCAGGGAGGGCATTCTAGGCAGAGGGAACAACAAATGCAAAAACTCAGAGGTGGAAAAGTGTCTAAGAACAGTAGAAATTACTCTGCAGAAAGATGAATGCCATAATGAGGCCTGCACAGATAGCTCTGGGCTCTAGAATGGTGGGTCTCTGAGTGCTTTTGCCTACAAGTTAGAGGAGACTCGACTCATAGTGTCTCTATGATGAGGGGATGGATTGTCCCAACTTGGCAGGAACCCAGAGAGGTTAGGCAGTCCCAGGACTGGCTACAGCAGCACCTCCGTGCCAAGTACCCCCTACCCCAAGATTCCCGCAGCCTCCCTGGTCTTGTGATCTCACAGTTTGGCTGTGAAAGCTTGGCTTGCATCCATACATCTTGGTCCCTCAAGCTCCCATCCTTTGTTACGCACAGCAGTTTCACTTCTCTCCTACTCTCCTTCCTCCTACCATACCACACTTGCTCGCCTTCCATCTCTTTCCCTAAGGTTAAAGAATGGTCCAGATGCTGACGCAGAGCCCTGACGTCATTAAGCATCTCTCTCCTCTGAGCTCCTTTTTACCTGAGGAAAATAACCCCCCATTTGCTCAGGCCACAGGGCATAGGTTTGCGGCGACTCGAAGCAAAATCCCCCTCTTCAGGAGGACCTCCGAGTGGTTATTTCCTAGAACAGAGAAGGCAAAGGAAAGCCTGCAAGAGGTGCTCTGGGGCCAGCTGGGAGTATAGTCACTCTTCTTCCATCCTGCTCAACACTGGAGTTCTGTTTTAAAGAGCGCCGTGCCGTCACGCACACGTGCATTGACACCCCTTACGCTTCGTGTTACATGTCACGGGTGACGTCCGGAAAGCGCAATCAGTTGCTCTTAAACGCAGGCATCCCTGGGATCCTGACTTTGCCTTTTTGTCTTTGTTGTGCTTACCAAGGTTTTTTCCTCTAGGTGCTTGTTAAAATTCTATTTTTCTTCAGGGCCATAGTGACTGGGTGACAGACGTTGCCATTAGCAACAACAAGAAATGGGTCCTGTCTGCTTCAAAGGTAAAAGTGGCCAGTCTCTGAGTGACTTCCAGTCTCTCCCACGCTCAGAACTGGTGTTCACGGAAGTGTTACTGTCAAGCTAAGTTCCTGGGCTGCCTCAGTCTGGGCCCCGCCGCCGCCCCTCCCCCACCCCCAGCCACGCCAGGCCATCCTCAATGCAGGGAGGTGGCCGGGACCATGGGAAGCAGGTCCTTATGTCTGCTTAAGTGGGGAGTTGCCAGGGATTTCTGTGTCTGCGACCATTGACATTGAGCTTTGTTGGAGCAAGGGCCTGCCCAGACCAGTGAGTGATGGAGCCAACAGGGGGCCTTTGGGGGGAAGACGTCAAGCTCATTGGGAAGCAGCAGAGACCACCCTGAGCTCCCAGGTGGGCCTTCCCTCTCTGCACCACGATATCCTGGAATTCCCATGCCAGTGGCACAGAAGAGCAAGCCCAAGGGTATCCCAAGAGCTGTCCTTCAGGTGTGGTGAACCCAAGAGTGGTGGAAGGGGGGGGTCCCACCTTGCTCCCTGCTGACCTTTATTAGAACCATGCCATTCTGTGGTCTGGGGGTTTCTGGGTGCATGGGACCATGAGTAAGACTCAGCCTGCCATGACCAACGTGTTAGCCAACCCAGACACTGCCACACACGACCCCAATACCATAATAACAGAACACCTAATAAAAGTTCTATGCTGATGTGTTATTTATTTTTTTTTAAGATTTTATTTATTTATTTGACAGAGATCACAAATAGAGAGGCAGGCAGAGAGAGAGGAAGGGAAGCAGGCTCCCTGCCAAGCAGAGAGCCCGATGCGGGGCTTGATCCCAGGACCCTGGGATCACGACCTGAGCCGAAGGCAGAGGCTTTAACCCGCTGAGCCACTCAGGCGCCCGTGTTATTGTTTTAATATAAAAATATGAAAGATGATTATGACAACTCTATCTCAGTAAAGCTGGAGAAAATTGAAAGTGCAAACCAAAATAAGAAAAAGGAATGTTTATTTGAAATGCATGTCTCATTGTTTTTTACTTCTCTGTTACATCAATGCTAGTATTGAAACAGTAATAATTGAACTACTTAACGGCAGCAATTAGGAGTAATTCATAATAGAACTAATTTTATTTTTATTTTTTTTTATTTTTATTTTTTTAAGATTTTATTTATTTATTTGACAGAGAGAGATCACAAGTAGGCAGAGAGGCAGGCAGAGAGAGAGGAGGAAGCAGGCTCCCTGCTGAGCAGAGAGCCCGATGCGGGACTCGATCCCAGGACCCTGAGATCATGACCTGAGCCAAAGGCAGCGGCTTAACCCACTGAGCCACCCAGGCGCCCTTATTTTTATATTTTATAATGTTTTATATTTTGTGATGTTTTTATTTTTATATAAAACATTTTGTTTCTTTTCTTTTTTTAGATTTTATTTACTTATTTATTTGACACAGAGAGAGAGAGAGAGAGAGACAGTGAGAGAGGGAACACAAGCTGAGGGAGTGGGAGAGGGAGAAGCAGGCTTCCTGCTGAGCCCGATGCAGGACTCGATCCCAGGACCCTGGGATCATTACCCGAGCCAAAGGCAGATGCTTAACTGACTGAGCCACCCAGGCACCCTGTGTTTCTTTTATATATCTTATATTTTATAATGTTTTTATGTATTTGATAATATATTTTATAATATCTCTTTCTTATGGCAATTTATTTGGACTTCATGTGTGCTGAAGATACATAAATGTAAGATTTAAAGAAAAGAATACAAGTACAATAAGATTGATATAATACGATTGAATCAATAAACATATTTCTATTTATTCATGTATTTATTTCCCCAGCTTTATTGAGCTATAAATGACACATAACATGGCCTAAGTTTAGGGGGTGCACGGTGTGCCCTGGACTGCCCCAACCTCCGGACACCCTTCTTTTTGCTGAGGTAGCAACAAAACCACACACTTGACAACTGTGAGCCCCACTTGGGCCTGCAGCTCTGCTCGTACCAAGCCCACTTCTCACCGATTCCTGTGTCAGCCCTTGGGAGGCCACCAGGTGAAAACATCCTCTCAGCAACAGCCGCGGGTCATGGAGTCCTCAGGGTCTCTCTAGAGCTCACAGGTTTTCAGATTTGCAGGAATTCACTTCCAGCTCTCCAAAGCTGTCCGAAGGTACTCAGTCTGCAAACCTTTCAGTGGCCAAGGCATTTTGTCAGTCAGCCGGGTCCTTTGCCACAAGAGTGGATGGTGTAGGCCGGCCGTGACTGAAGTGGCCATTACTGTAAAAGGCTCTGAAGTACAGTGCACGCCGTCGTGACTCCAGCCTCTCTTTTGGGAAATGGCCTTAAAGCACAGAGGTCTTTTGAACTTGGGATAATAACGTTGGATCCCAGATACAGAGACCGAGAATGAATGTCTTGTTTGGCATGACTGCCATTTTCTGGTGATTTTTTTTTTTTTTTTTTTTTTTTATAAAGTACTGAAGCGGTCTTATTTCAAAAAAAAAAAAAAAGTGACCCCTATTTTCACTGTATGAATTTTTGTCACAACCTGCATCCAAGGGGCAGTCGGTCACTTCATCCTTCTTTAGGCTCACTGTGGCCTCTTCGAAGATCCTGAAACGGTGTTGGAGAAACAGGGTATACCTTTTTTTTTTTAATTATTTTTTTTAAGATTTCATTTATTTATTTGACAGAGAGAGTGACATCGAGAGCAGCACAAGCAGGGGGAGTGGGAGAGGGAGAAGCAGTCTTCCCACTGAACAGGGAGGCTGATGTGGGGTTCCATCCTAGGACCCTGGGATCCTGACCTGAACCACCCAAACGCCCCATACCTTTTCTTGTAATTCTGCTGTAATCCCTTTCTTCCACTCTCATCCTCAATGCATTTCAAAACCAGAGGACATTCTTCTTATGCCACACATTAAACATACAATTTTATGGCAGGCCCACATTTTAAATATCTTCTTTAGAGCTCACAGTGATAACTGCCATCTTGGAGGTAAATGTTTAAGCAACACACCTTCTTCCATTTCCACAAAGTCATCATTTTAATAAAGTGCTTCTCTACTTTTTGAGGAATAGGAAAGGAGACTAAAAACTATTAAGAAAGACCTCGGGGGTGCCTCCTGGGTGGCTCGGTAGAGCAAATGTCTGACTCTTGGTTTTGGCTCTGGTCCTGATTTTGGGGTCATGGGATTGAGCTGAATTGGGCTCCATGCTCAGTGGGGAGTCTGCTTAAGATTCCCTCTCTTGGTGCACCTGGGTGGCTCAGTGGGTTAAGCCTCTGCCTTCAGCTCAGGTCATGATCTCAGGGTCCTGGAATCGAGCCCCGAATCGTGCTTTTTGCTCAGCGGGGAGCCTGCTTCCCTCCAGTCTCTGCCTGCTTGTGATCTGTCAAATAAATAAAAATCTTAAAAAAAAAAAAAAAAGATTCCCTCTCTCCCTCTCTCTCTGCCCACCCCCCCACACTTTCTTTTTCTCTCTCTACCCCCCCAAAAAAAGAAAGAAAAAAAGACCCAACATCACAGGTGAGCAAATCCCACAGTTTTGTGCAGTGTGGTGTGCATGACGTGCCATCCATTTAGCGGGTGAGCTCTTTTCATTTGCTTTGGAAAGAAGTTAATAGGCTGAATGGAATTTTCCAGAATTTACATCTGTGTTGTCTGCTGAACATGTGGATAGATGAGCAATGTCTAGTTTGTATTCAGATAAGATGTCAACACGCTTTTATGTTTTCTGCATTTTCACTAAAATCTTCATAGAAATCAAGAAGATGATCTGAAACTCCCAACTTCTGAATATTCAAGGACTAGGTTGTGGGGATTTGGCAAATCACCAACAATGCCTGGAGAGGGATTGTTGGTGGCCTCTGACAGCTCCACACAGCAAGGGGCCAACACCGATGGGATCACTGGCCCCTTTTCTTCTCCCACATGTCATTTAGTTGCATTTAATTGCATATGCGGATTCAGGAAATGGAACATTACTCAGTTTTTTAGTTTCTTATTGCCGCTATAATAAATCACACATACACTTTACCCCTTACACAACAAAAGCCGAGTATCTTCCAGTTCTGTGAGACAGAAGTATGACAAGGTCTTGCCGGGCTAAAATCAAGGCATCCACAGGACTGTATTCCTTTCTGTAGCTCTAGGGGATAATCCATTTCCTTACCCTTTCTAGAAGCCACCACATTCTTCGGCTTGTTCATCTTCCTGTATCTTCAAAGCCAACAACATCGTATTTCTCTGTGCCTTTCTTCCATAGAACATACTCCTCTCACTGTGTTGTCCACTTTTTCTTTTTTTAAAGATTTTATTTATATGACAGGGAGAGACACAATGAGAGAGGGAACACGAGCAGGGGGAGTGGGAGAGGGAGAAGCAGGCTTCCCACAGAGCAGGGAGCCCGATGCGGGGCTAGAACCCAGGACCCTGGGATCACAACCTGAGCTGAAGGCAGACGCTTAATGACTGAGCCACCCAGGCGTCCCTGTGTTGTCCACTTTTAAGGACATTTATCACTATGTCTAGCCTGTCTGGATAACCCAGAACAACGTCCCTATTGGAAGATCAGCTGGTCAGCGAACTTAATTCCCCTTTGTTATGTCATCTAACATGTTCACAGGTTCTGGGGATTAGGGTGAGGACTTCTGGGCATTGTTCTGCTGCCTACATTCCATTCCATAAAAACAGTCGGAGGAATGATAGGATAATGGATGATCATTTGAGCAGTATTCCCAAACAAATTCATCCGTTACCATTGTCTCAGGAGTATTGGTGTCTTTTTTTAAAAATAGATTTTGTTGTTTAGAGCAGTTTTAGGTATACAGAAAGTTGGGCTAATAGTACAGAGAGTTCCCATATAGTCCCTTCCTCTCCCCAGTTTCCACTATTGGTAATAATGTCTTGCATTCAGTGTGGTATATTTGATACAAGTAAAGAACCAATATCGATGCATCATTACGAACCAAAGTCCGTAATTTACATTTCACTCTTTATGTTGTATGGGTTTTGCTAAATGCATGCAA